GAGGTTCAAGAAAAAATATTTTTGAGCACTAATGAAAAAACCAGGAACCAAATTGGAGAAAAAGATCCACCACAGCAATACCAACAACAAATGAGCAAAGATTAATACTGGTGGAATGGGAATAAGAAGGGATGAAGGGAAAGAAAGGCTTATGAGGTAAGTAGAGGAAAGAAAAATGATTTTGAGAGAATAGAGAGAGAAGAAATACTAAGAGTGAGGAATGAAAATCAGGCTAAGACAGGGAAAAAGTAAAATTTAAAACAAAAAGGGCAAGGTGAAGGCAAAATGGAGTAGGAGAGGGAAACAGTACAATTCGAGATTTGAAATATGAAAGTAGTGAAGATCTAAGAATAAAATTGAAGAAATGCAATAATAACCACCTTATCAACAGCCAACTAGTGAAGATTCATAAAGGTGGAATGAGAATAACGGTATTTTAAGAATGGGAAAAAGAATATGAGATGACTAATGACAAGAAAAATGGTTCTGAGAGGCTAGAGAGGGGAGAAATAGTAAGAGTACAGAATGGAAACAAGTTGTAGCCAGAGAAAAAGTAAAATTTAAAGCAAAAATAAGAGGGAGGAAGAACATAAAACACAGTAAGAGAAGAGAGGAGCAAAATAAAGGATTTGAAGTAAAGTAAAATTAAAAAAAAGACTAGTGAAATAATAGGCACAAACTTCAAGAAAAAGAAATGAATCTTAAAAAGCTATGCAGGAGAGAAACTAATGCAAATAATGAAGAAGACCATGGTGGAATTCATCTCTGTAGAATCCAGTGTTTACCACTGTCTTCTTTTTCTGTATCCGCCCCTAGTAATGTCAGAAGGTATCCTGGTCTGTCTCTAGGCAGCCTGTTCAAGACTACAAATGATCCACACACAGTCTTTGGCTGGTCCCCTATTATTCTGTTCTGCCTGATTCCCATCAGCCGAGGGCCCAGGAATGGTTCATTTAATGACCAGAAAGGACTGCCAGTACCTTCTCCACCTGTCTTCAGAGGGGGCTTCTAGTGCTATAGCAGGGATGGGAACCCTGAGTCACTCACAGGAGATGCTCTTCAGTTTTCTGGGAAGATGGTGGGAGTGTTTCCCTGCCTCTTCACCACATGACTTGCTCTGTCCCAGATTCTTTCCAATAAACCATACATTCCATCCAATGTATGGTTTTTGGTGAATTATCTGTGTTTCCTGTGAGGAGCCAATCTGTGTAAAAGGGGCAGCTCTTTCTGCTTGGCACAGACAACAGCTCTGTCTAGGCACAGAGGCTGGGGATCCCTGAACCCCCCCTTGTTGTACCTGTCTGTAATCTCTCTCCTCTACTGGTTTCAATGGATCACAGCCTGAGGAAGAATGTTTGGTAGAAAGGGCCCCTTCAGAGCCTTTAGCTTTCTCCTGCAGATTCGCACTGAGCAGATATTCCAGAGCCTTGCAGCGCCTGTAATCTAGCTGTTGGGGGTTGGGCACACCTGCTTGTCAGGTGACATGCCTGGTTGCAGTGAATCTCAGGTGTTCAGTTCCTGGCAGGTGCACGTGAGCACCGGGTCCCTGCTGAGTCTTGAGTCTGGCCTCAGCTCCTCTTTTAAGAGGAGTTCCTGTGTTGGCTCCCTCATTGCAGCACCAAACCCTGGGGGTCCTGTTCTCATGCTCCTCTCCACAAAAAGCACAAAGTCTCTCTCCGTCAGGTCTCTCCACAGCCTGATAGAGCCTCAGGCAGTTTTAGATGAAGTTTCTCAATGGATCTCTCCTGGCTGGTGCTGGGAAGAGTCCCACAGCAATACTATAACATGGGGTGGTGGCAGGGTACTCTGCCTGCTCCCACCCAATAATCGTCAGCCTCGGACAGGCCTGCTCCTGCCATGCTATTTCTGCAGCCAGCACTGCCCTCGCTGTCTCTCTCCTCCCCCAGAGCTTGCAGCTCCTAAACCAAACTGCAGCCTCCTCAGTCAGATTCTATCTCATTTGCAGTTCCCATGATGCTTGGGGTCAAGGAGGCGATAGCCCCTTCCCCAGTAAGTACCACAGTCCCCAGACCCTGGCTCCTGGTGGCTCCTGGTGGCAGTGGACTTTCAGTTTCTGACTCCTGGTACAAATCACATCAAGTTCTGTAGTTTTACTTTCCCTATAACACTAAAACCATCTTACTTTTGCCTACAACATCCTAATTATTCTTTTCACCTAGTTAAATCTTATTTATGATCTCAAGGAGGCATTCCCTGATGCTTTAACTTAAATGCCACATCTCTGTGTACTACACACCTCGTCAGATGCACTTTTCTCATCTATAGTTTTATCTGCATGTGCCTGCCTCTCCAGTAGTCTGAAAATTCATTAATGGAACATACAATCTTCATAGTTCCGCACCTTGGGCAATTCCTATGACATAATAGACACTCAGTTTACTGAAATAAAAACTGCTACTGGGAGCCTTTCTCATGTAAAATGTGTACCAGAAGAGAAATGTACCTAACAGTTCACTCATAGTTGAACTGCCAGGAACTAAAGGCAGATTCTTTTATCTATATTCAGAAATTCACATTTAAATGCATGCTGTTCTCTGTTAAGTTTCTGAAGTTTTTGTTAGCACATTATTCAGCCTTAACCATGAATTGATACTTATTCATTAACTGTTTTAAAATAATTTAATAATTAAAACTGTCTATGGAGCACATGTACCAGCAACTGATACTGTCTCATTTTATCTCCCCCAGCAGCCCCAGTAGGTACTATTATTTTCCATACTTGTAAATAAGGAAACAGCCTGAGAAAAGTTAACTCCATTTAGAGCCATAACTCAAACCTAGATCAACCTCAGTAGAGCCTCTGTTTTTAATTACCACACTGTATCATCTAAGGGAGAAATGTAAATAATAATTGTTTTTGTTGGTGACCCAAACAGTGTCTGTCAACCATCGACTTATTCTGATACTGTTGGGTTTTAAAGAATATGGTAAGCCCAGGAAATTTTACTCTTAGAATTTGACTGTAGACAAAGAAAAATTGAATGTGGTACCTGCAAGTAATACTTTGTTTGCTAAAAAGAAAATTGTCAAAAGCTACTTTGACCCTGGGACCTTTTGTTTCAATATCTTCAGGAATTTTTTAAGGACCGCTTTCTCCTATCTGAAACAAGAGCATTCCTATAAAACCTTTCCTAAGCCAAAACAGCATGAAACAAATAAGCAATTACCATTAATTTATATGGAAAATTTTTTAGCATACCCATACTCCCCAAAAGAGCCTACCAAATCATATGAAATACACTTGATTATATCTGACTTTATGCTAAGCATAACACCTTACAAGTTTCCTTAGGCTTTCCGGTATCTTAGGAGACAGCTTGTTAATTAATGCTCAGATGCTCATAGACACAATCCAGAGCTTTGGTGGCTTATGCTGAGATGCTGAGTGCAGTTCCCCATGAAAAAGCTGGGCAGGGCCAATCTCACTGCTTCTGTAATTCACTGCAAAACATGCTGAACGCTATTTTTGCTGTCTTTGTAAAAGTGAAAATCCTCTTCAGATTTCTTCAGTTAGTGAAAACTGGTACTAATGTAGATCTTTCATAACATGAACTTTGGAAAAGCAGAGGATACCTTTGCTAGAATGTTTTAGTAAAAACAAGACTAAACTGAAACATTGAACAATGAATCCTTTAAAGAACAAGTTTATAAGGACATTAGGTTTTAGTTATATTACAGTCTTTTTTAGCCACAAATGAGTTTACAGTAGTACACCCAGCCAGGAGTTTAATACCGTTAAGAGTTTTCAATGGTAGTAAAAGTGAAAAAAAAAAATCTGACTATGTATGTCATTTACCCAAGAAGAGTGCACAGGCTATCTCAAATATTAGATCTGATTTTAAGCTGTGTCTCTGAAATTTTGTTAGGAAAAATTCTGTCCTTAATTAATGGCTGATTGAGAAAATTAATACTCTTAATAATTTATTGAATAAACCTTCAAGCTGTTTGCAAAAACAACATTTAAAAGTTTTTATTTATAATAAGAGGGAACCACTGTTCCAGGACAAAATATTCTATTTTCTACCAGGAAGGATATGATCTTCATAAAGATCTTATTAGATGATTAATTTGTGAGAATTAGAAAAAGGAATTTAGAGAAGCTTTCTTTAATTCTGAAGACAAAGAATTTAAAATAACTGGCTGATTGGACCCCAGAAAAGTACAGATTAATCAGGGTACCACTAGAAATGAATTGCCATTTTTTTTTTCTTGCAGTTTATTTATGTGAATCAGTCGTTTGCCCCTTCCCCCGACCAGGAAGTTGGAACCCTCTATGAGGTAAAACATAACCACTTTATTTTCTTAATGCAAGATGCACATCTGTGAACAGTATGATTATTAATCTCATCATTATTTTAAGAGACTCTATTCTTAATTGCCTTTAGGGGGAAAAAGATTACTTTCTTGTTTTCTGTTACTTCTCTAACACCTTAAATATAGCTGGATCTCAGTAAATTATACAGTGATTAAAGAATTAAGGAATGAATAATATAAAGGATGACTTTGAAGTATGCCCAGAAAGTAAGGTCTTCTTTTTTACCTAATTTGTTTCTCCTACATTGTTTGTATTAATCAATAATCCAGATTTGCCTCTAAGAAATTTAAAAGGAGGCTACATAAGAATGACTTCTTTTAACATTCTAATGGTTTCATGGCAGTAATTATAGTACATACACACATTAACACCACTAGTTCAAATCAGTGTATACATTACAGTTAAAGGTGTAAAGAAGGGACAAGATTAAATATGTAAGCCTGTCACCCATGCCTATGATGTTTAAAGGAGAGGTTTTATTAAGCATTGTGGTTACTAATATGTGTCCGGTAGCAACTTGCATCTCTTGAGAGAAATAGCTTTATAGATAACTTACATGTACATTGTATGAAGATATTTATGATACATATAACATTTCTTTTCTTAATTTTTGTTATTCTTAGATGAAACTAAGTTTAACTTATTGCCTTTTTTCTTTTTATAGTGTTTTGGCAGTGATGGTAAACTGGTCCTACATTACTGCAAATCTCAGGCATGGGGATGAACTACAGAAAAGATCTTGATAACTAAAATGAATCTTCAGAAAGGAAACAGCTCTGAAAAGTTTGACACTTTTGGCAAGAGACTTGTGAATATGATCTACTCAGCATGTTATCTGCTATGACCCATGTTTATGCATGTTATCCATGGAGTAGATAGACTCACAAGAATGTAATTTGTATTACAGAAATCATGATAAAAAGATTGACATGAGAGTATACCCAGTACAACTATTGCTCCATATATGCCTCCAAGATATTGATAAGGAGACTAAGATTGTAAAAGCCTCTTTGTCACCAGTTCTTAAAATTGTTTACTTGTAGAATTAACACTCTGCTGATAGTTTTTCCACTGTAAAAGTCAGTTTTGTTTACTGAAGGATTCTTTTTGTGCTTACTCTGGAAAGTTCAGTTTGTTCAATGTATGGGATATGCCTGTTCTCATTTATATTTATACCTATACAGTATTATGAAACACAATCTCATTGTCCTGCTGGTTTTATACCTTACACAGTCCAGTAGAGGGCAGCCTAGCTGGCAGAAAGAAGCAGTTTGGTTTTACATCTATGCCAAATGATATTGGAGGGAAAAAAACTGTTCCTGCTCATTTCTAGCAAACATCTACCCAAGACAACATATATATTGACACACTGAAAGACTGTTTTAAAAGAATATGCATTGTTTATATTTAATTATTTTGTTGGGAAACAGAAATTTTACGAATTTTGGACAAATTTCACTCCAATCATTTGATGACTCTTGAATCCCAATGGTTATAGCTGTGGTGATATTCTGTCTCTTATTTTTAGTGTCAAAAGTGCTCAAATGAAGGTGACAACATTCTTGAACTTTTTATAATGCATTTTTTCAACTTGAAAATGCTTAAAGAATGACTGGAAAAAAACTAGTTCCTATGTGTATTTCATGGAGTAACTAGAAAGTACCTTTTTTCTGATGCTATTAGATTGGTAATTGCTTGAAGTAAGATTTAACATTTTTCTCCATTCTATACTATATTCGTAATGCAGTATTTTAAAAGTATCATTTCACTGATGTATGGAGTCTGAAAAAATGAACAAAAACCAGACTTATAGATACAGAATAACTGATAGTTGCCACAGGGTGGGGCAGTAGGGCTGTGGCCAAAAATGGTGAAGGGGATTGAGGTACGAACTTAGAGATTAGTCACCGGGGTGTACAGTACAGCACAGGGAATGCAGTCAACAATGTCACAATAATTTTGTATGGCGACACGTGGATAGTGGACTTCTGTGATCACTTTTGTAGGGTGTATAAGTATGAAAACTCACTACATGATACACCAGAAACTAATATAATATTGTAAGTCAACTATAATTAAAAAGAGCTTTACATTCCAAAATAAAAATTAGATGTGAAGCAAAAAAAAAAAAAGTATTTCAATAAATTGAATGGAATATCCAAACAGGTCTAAAGTGTGTGCAAGAATTCTAAGTGTTTATTTTCAGAGGTAATGGGCATGGTATGGTTTTGTGAAAGGACTTTGAACTACACTTATGACCCTTAAATCCTAGAATGTACTTTATGGTTAATGATCTGCCATACATTAGCATTAAAGGATACTAAGGATACTAAAGGAACAATTGAGTTTACGGTGATCAAATCACTGCTCAGTTCTCATTTTCTGTCCTTGAGTGAATGAATGAAGTCCCCCTACACCAATGTTTCTGTGTAATAACTTAATATAGCTAGTAGTTAGCAGTGGAATAATACAAGTTAAATTGTGCAAATTTATCTTGTAAAACTGGGTCGGAAATTTATATATATGTTGAAAACCGGAATGTGTATTTTCAAGTCACGTATGTTGGATGTAGAAAAGAGCTGTTCTCTAGCTTCATCCACTTACAGTTTATTGAAGGATATAAATATATTTATATGCATATATAGTTAATGAATAGCAAAAATTATTTACCTTATATTTATTACTAAGGTTTCAGGTGTGTGGAATGTTTACTACCTCAATAAGCAAAACTCCATTTTGAATTTGTGACATCAATTGTTCATTTTTAATCTAAAGGACTTAGTAATTGATTAAATCTAAGGTTAGTTAAATATGTATATACCTTGCTTGTTTTTTCCCTAATAACTTTGAAGAACATAGTATAAGGCTTTACACTATTATAAATCATATTTATACTATTACCTCTTAATCCTTACCCAAAGAGTTAATCACTTTATGCTAACTTTGCAACATCTACTTGTAAGCCTGAATCCCATTAAGTTATTTGGTGACTAGAACCTTATACAAAATTCACAAATATTTTTGTAGTTGTCTGGTTTAAACTGGTAACTGTAATTGAACTTGGAACGGGGGAGAACTGAATCCTCAGGTCATATTTTGTTTTCCTTGTTTATGAGAAAATTGATGTCAGTTATGTCATGCTTTACATTACTGTGCAAAGATGACCTAAAACATACAGAGTGTATGTAATTATTAGAATATTGTCCTTCCATCTTTGAAGATATCTACACCAAAGACTTCATCACGAGTTTCTTACACTTAGGATATACGGTAAGCTAAATAAGATTGGATACTTTTTAGAATCTAATTTTCCAGACTTTCTAATGCTGAAGGCACCTTAAATATGATCTACTCTAATCACACTAGGAAACTGAAAGAAGTGCAGACTGTGCCTTTCATCATATAGCATTAGTCAACCAGCTGTGTACAACCCAGACTAGGGAAGTGCAGTGTTCAAGGGGTATGAAAATCACCTTTCATGCATCTTCTACCTCATTTTCCAAGGACTATTACATACTGGGTAAGCTTCTGGCACCAGGGAGGTCAGCTACAGAGCACATAATGGAAGAAAAAGTATTCAGAAAGCAGGTTTCTGTACTGCTGCAAGAGTTACAAGTACAGTTTTCCTACATTATTCAACCCACACTATTCCCTGAACCTGCCTTCTTTTTTTGTTTCTTACATCTCATATGTTTCCATTATGGAAATGCACTTACCTTCACCCCTTCAAATCCTGCCTCAACTTAATTCAGATTTTAACTTCCCTAAAGCTTGTCTGAATCAGTCAAGGGAGAGATACTGTCTGCCTCATAAAAACAGTTACAGCGAACTACTACTATTACAGCACTACTGCATCATAAGCATTGTGTCCAATACCCTTTCATGATTGTATATACATATGTCCCTAAAAATAGGACTTTTTGGGTTTTTATTTGGTACCTATATGCATAATACTTAGTATGTTTCCTTATGCATACCAAATCAGTAATCCATTATATACTGAGTGAAAAATTAAGTGTGGCTTTCAAAGTATGGTTTAACTTGGAAAAGCAACACTAGAGGTCAATTTGTGTACAAGAGTCCCCACTTACCCATGAGCTCCAATGGATTCCTAAAACCCTGGATAGGACCGAACCATATAGATGCTGTGTTTTTTAACAGTATGCGACGATAAAAGTGATGTGAATGGTGTCTGTCTTCTCATCCTCATGAAGATGTGAGATGATAGAGTACCTACATGATGAGATGGCTTCCCATATCAACAAAAGCTGAAGACTTTACAAGGTGATCTGTAGTCCCCATTTTTGCGTATCCGTGTTCATTTGTGTTCAAAAACTAAGTTTGCTCCCATCTTAGGGTGTTGCATTTACTGTTTACTCCACTTGGAAGCTTCCCCCAGAAAACCACGTCTCACTAACATCCTTCAGTTCCTGCCCAAATTTCACATCAAGAATGTTCCCCTGAACTCCCTCTAAAATAATACCACCCTCAACCTTTTTCCCCCTGCTTTAGTTTTCCTCCATTGTAAGTTGTGTACAGTATTTGTGTGTCCAGTTCACCATGTATACTGTCCGCTCTTCCCCTCCATTAGAACATAAGCCCTCTAAGGGCAGAGACTCGGTGTTGTGAGCAGTGCCAGGCATATAGTACATGGTTTCTTAAATGTGTTAAATGGATCATTAGATGTGTATTTCCAGACCTCGGATAATTCTGGTTCCCTTCGCTAATTATCCACCCCATGTCAATGACTCTTCGAATGTGTAAATCATTGCCCTGGGCAGGGCAGAGTGCAGTAGAACTACTACCTCTATGGATCTTAGGTATTCCACTTACATTACTAGAGCCTCTCCTTGCAACACACATCATTAAAGGTTGGCTTCTGGCGTGCTTCCTAACCAAAGCCCTTTCTGAACAATGGTGATCGAGTTGTCATTTGTACTTCCGCAGAACACTGTTAGCACAAGTAGATTTGCTTTATATGTACATAAAGGAATGGGCAAAAGTAGGTTAAGTTACCAGCCATCATTGCCGAAAAAATAAATCATAGATAATGACACGAAACAAAACAATACTAATAATACAAGAATAAACTTTTGTGTAATCACAGCTGTAAACCTACTTGTGCCCACCCCTGTATATACATTCAAGCGAAGTCTAGGAAAAGTCTTCCAGAAGTCTAGACCTTTTATAACCTTGAATCCAAATTATTCCAAGTCCATTAATGAGAAAGAAGGAATACTTGCGTTTTTTCTGTCCTTCATATTTTCCGTCTTGTTCTCAAGCGTGTAAGTGCTGTGCACAATGTAGAAATGTGTTTCTGTATAGGTATTACCAGTAGGCTTCTTCAAGCACAGTCCTATAAATGAGAGAGTTATATACTCTAACTAGAACCCTTTAAATTACTGAATTGGGAGAAAACACACACACAGGGTACTTGTATTCACTATGAATTGAAACATGGAGTCTTGGCACTAAATTTTTTTCATGTTTTTTTTAAATTTATTTATCTTTAGAAGGGAAGGGAAGGGGAGAAGGAGAGAAATATCAATGTATAATTGCTTCTGGTGCATCCCCTGCTGGGAACTGGCCTGCAACCCAGGCATGTGCCCTGACTGGGAATCGAACCGCAATACTCTGGTTTGCAGGCCCACGCACAATCCACTGAGCTACACCAGCCAGGGCTTTTTTTCATGTTTGATTTTAATTTGTCATGTTTCATTTTAATTGTTCATGTTTCATTTTAAAATCAATGAGGTATAACTGGCCTTCTCCGTTTTCTAGTCTTGCTCCACAGTCGAGTCTCCTTTGTCAAATGTACTTTCAGTACAGCACACAATACAACACACAGATAATGTATTATAGAATTATATATCTGAAACCTGCATTATAGAACTATATATCTGAAACCTATATAATTGTATCAACCAATATCACCCCAATAAATTTAAAAGTTTTTAAAAATTTAAAGGAGAGCACAGTTATTTCACCTCGCCTGAAGCTTATTATCTATAGTTTCAATCCACAAAAAAAATCTCCATTTTGAGAGTAGAATCCGTCCTTAGCTTTCGCAAGCTCTATTCAATTTCTCAGTTCTCTGAAAGGAAGGGTCCCCTTCCTTCCTCAACATTCACCGCCGGCAATTTTCTCCAGAACCCCCATGGTGTGCATCCTTGGTTGGGAACCTCTGCGGCCAAAAGAAGCCTCAGGGCGAGGCGGCAGGAGAGAGTAAGGAAGGGTGAAGGGAGAGGGGTGGGTAGGGATAGGCCACCAAAGTGAGCCCAGTTAAGGTAGGGGGGAAATTGCGCGCTGCCCAGTACGAGTGCTGGGATTTGGGAGGGAAGGGCTTCCGGTGAGGCTAAATTGCTCGGAGGACCTTACCCTCAAGGTCTCGTAGCTTCCACCGCCATTCTCAAGTTGCGCCCGCCTCTCCCCACCCGTCCAGGGCCTTTGGTACATTCCCGCTGCTCCGAGAGCTTAAAAAGAGCCCCGGGAGGCTAAACCTTAGCAGATTTGGTTCTCATTTGTCTCTGCTTGAGAGCTACACATTCCCACATTCTCTGCGCCCCGGGTTGGGAGAGTGTCTCTTGGTATCTTCTCGGCCAGGGATTTTAAAGCTGTGGCTCTCAAGCATTGGGGGTTTTGTGTGTGTAGCCGTGTGGCTGGGGTCCCTCGTCCCCAGTACCTAGGCTTGCTTGGCTCCTTCGCCAAAGCCCAGCAGTGAGAAAGGCGCTCAGCCGCTTCTGCAAAGGATGGAGCAGACCGAGGTGCTAAAGCCACGGACACTAGCTGATCTGATCCGCATCCTGCACCAGCTCTTCGCCGGGGAGGAGGTCAATGTGGAAGAGGTGCAGGCCGTCATGGAAGCCTACGAGAGTGACCCCGCCGAATGGGCAGCGTATGCCAAGTACGACCATTACAGGTGAGTGCGCTCTAGCCCAGCCCGCTGAGGATCTCGAGCGCGGGCCTCAAAGCCCAGCAGCGCCAACTCTCGGAGACCGAAGAGGACCGGGCTTGGGGAGGAAGGGTCGGGGTCTTGCTCGGGAAAAGCGCAGACCACATTGCGCCCATGCTTCTAGCGTCCCAGGTCCTTCGCCGCACCACAGCGCTGTTTCTCCTCCGGGGACGCCGGAGCTCACTCTCGTGCTTTGGGCGCAAGGTAGATCCTGCGGGGATTGCCCACTGGAGGGGCGGCCACCGAGGGTGGCATCATGCCACCCTCTCAGCTTCAAAACCACAACTCCTTCCTCTGTCCCTGCCCTCGGGGGCAGCGCCCTGGGGAACAGACTGCCGGGACTAATGGAGGGTGGTGTTCCCAGGAAAGAAGTATACCAGCCCTTCGGAGAAAAGGGTAAAACGGTGGAGAACACACTTCCCCAGTACTAGTTCTCCATCACTTCGACCTCGGTCGCCTGCAACCAGGCACCTGCCGACAGGCATTCTTTTGCGTCTTGGGGTTGTCAGCTGCTCGTTTTCCATTTGTGGTGCCCTTTCTCCCAAACCAGTTTAACTTCTTGGACTGCGGTTTTATTATTTAAATCCACCATCGGGTTCGAGAAATAAACGACGGTCTCTCTTTCGCCCCCAAGCAATATGCTTTCTCTTATCCGTAGTTCTGGGCATCTGGAATGTTAAGTTGAAGACCGCTGCTCTCCAGCTGTGCTGGAGTGAGACGCCCCGGGAGGCCTAGTCCTGTGCAGCGCTGACTTGGTTTTTACGTAAAAATTAATCTCTACCTATCTGTCCACTGGGGCCAGAAGCAACATTTAATCACCCCGAGGCGTGAGAGGTTGTTTTCCAAAGGGTAGGTAGAGCTTCAGTCATTAGGGTTAGTTGGACCGAGGAGGATAGTTGATATAGAAGAACAAGGAAACATTGTACTTTCCTTGGTAACAATTTGTTAGTCACTTCACTAAACCATTATTATATGAAATGTTAAAGGGATTTATTCAAGAAAAAGAAGTCAAAACTATGAACATTAACATGGCAATAAATACGTATCTATCGACAATTGAATCTAAAAAACAAACTAAGCAAACAAGAAAAACAGAATCATGGATAAGGAGAGCGGAGAGCATCTTGATGGTTGCCAGATTGGGGGGGGGTGGTACATTTAATAAATTTTTGTTGGCAAGGGGTGTCTCAGCTGTATTTAAGAAATTCCTCTGGTTCCTGTCAACTCAGTTTATGTTGCTGCTGGTCCTTCTGTGGCTGCCAGTGAGGTTTCCAGAGTTTTTAATTTTGCCACTAGTGCCACGTAATTAAGGGCTTTGTCGTGGGCCAGGTGCTCTTCCAGTCACTTGACACTTGTATTAATTCATTTGCCTCCACGACCCTTCGAGATTGGTTCCATTCTTATCCCTATTTCACAGGTGAGAAATGGTAGGCAATAAAAAGTTTGGGTACTGCACAAGGTCATACTTCCATCAAGCAGTACCAGAAATCAAATTAGCATTATTGTTCCAGAGCCCACACTCTAAACCACTATTAAACTTTTTTGCAGATGTTTGGAGCATAGTAGTGGTTTTCTTCTGCCTAGAGATATTATTTGTCAAGTGAAATCAACCAGGTAGGCTGTAAATGCTCTTAATCTTTAGAACAGGACATTTCCATGGACTTTCAATTTGTCCTGATTGACAAGCTCTAAACCATTTGAAATTCAACCACTTGGATAGATCTATTACACGGTATCTAAGATACAGCTCATTAAGATAATGGGTGCAGTCCTGGGTGGGCTTTTGGGGAGGAGAAAGGGAAGGAGAAGGGAGAGCAGAAATCAATTTGATAGTATTTTTTGCAAAAGAAGTGTCCAAGCACTGTGAGGAATTTTGATCTTTGACCTTGGGAAGGCAGTGCAGAAGAACCAAGACAAAATGTGTTCCAGTGTGGATCTGACAATGAATTCTCCGGCAGAAGCCCCAAAGAAGCAAGAGGGGTGACCCTACAACTGGTGGAAGGAGTAGTACAGGAACGAAATTTACTGTAAATCAAAGGCCATGTGTACAGCCCCTTGCTAGGTCATAAAGGGCTACAAAGTGAAGATGACTGACAGCTAAAGGGCCTCTGCTAATCACCTCCCTCGGGGATCCTGCTGTGCCACATCTGGCCTTCAGCCAGGGGGAGGAGGGGACACCTAGGACCAGATGAACAGATGACCATATGAACAAACACTACCCTGGAAATGGGGTATAGATTGCTTTCTTTAAAAGTAACAGTTTAAATGAATGTCGGAATTAGCCAACTTTGCTAATTATATAATATCACTAGTACCTCTTGAACCAATAAAAACTTTAAAGTTGATTTTTCTTCCTGATGCTATAGTCACAGTTGTTTTGTTTCAGGATTGTTTAAAATTTTTTTTGGCTTATTACTGTTTTCTCATCATTGTAAAAGTTTTAGAATATTAGTTACTTTCCTAATGTAGCCTCTTATGCTCTGATTTAAGTCAACCCCCACTGTATTTGTGGAGGACTTTTCTTTAGGAGCACTTTTGAATGTGGTTTTGGTCTGGACTATAGTAAAACTAAGGAGAATTCTAGAACAGGTATTTAATAAAACCTTGTTTTTCAAGTTCAGGTGTAGCTACCTGAGGGAAAAGACAAAAAAATGAAACAGTAGCAACATTCTTGCCCAGAGCACTAAGGCACTTTGTAAATACCTTCACGAGAAACTTTTATTCTTTTTTATCAGTTTGGGGCAGTCACATGAAGAATAAAGGAATTTGCTTTTATTCGTTTACTTTTCCCTGCCATTAATTAAAACCACAACTATAACTGTGATTCAAAATATAAAAATGTCCAAAATGAACTGGGGAAAAATATTTTTCATTTGGGCTGGATTTCTAATTAGAAAGCTACATTCAGAATTGCTTAGAGGTAGAAACAGTAACATCTGTAAATGAATGATATTTTGTGACACACTTACTTTTCCCAATGCTTGTTTTAACCAAATTCAGTCTTCCGAATATATTCTTTTCAGGTACACCCGAAATCTTGTGGATGAAGGAAACGGAAAATTTAATCTAATGATTCTGTGTTGGGGTGAAGGACATGGCAGGTAATAGAACTGTTCATTCATAGACATTTGTTAGGTATGTGTTCCAGCACAGGACGTGTACAGTGCCAGGCTGGCCACAAGTCTTGAGAGCACTAACAAATCTCGTTTTATTATTATTTTTTCCCCTAATCCCAACAAAAAAATCTCATGGGAATTAGTATGAGGGGTTTAGGCATACACCATGCATATCAAAACCAGTCCCCAGAATGAGTAATAAATTAAATAGGTGATAAACAGCTTAACTTATTTTCTCTCCAAATTTTTGTGGGATTGTGCTAAAACTTGACCTTTGTCATATTTGAAGTGTATGAACAATTATGGGAGCAAAGACTCTAACATCCAAATTTAGAGCTAGAAAAGCAATTCACAAATTCAGAACATTTCTTTCTACTTCAAATTTATTGTTTATTTTCTTAATATAGAGGGTAAAGCAACTTAATCTAATACCAATTCTTTGAAACTTGGTTCCTTATTTTTCCTCAATTTAAATATTTGTCAACATTGTTATTGAGTATTATCTTTCAAACAGGCCCTTCTCAGTCTTTTGACAGCCATGAAAATAATCATCCAGACCCATTTTTGATGGGAGAAAGGAAACAAGTTTACAAGACATTGGAAAATTAGGTCTATAGAGAATGTTTATGTACTAACAGAGTGGAATAGTTTTCACTCAGTCTCTCAGTTATTTTTCAAAGCAGATTACATATCAAGAATAGGGCGGGGCTCTATGGATTTATGAAACAAGTTCTTCCTATGGTGCGTATGAGGGCTAATAGAATTCAACATTGACATAAATGCCAAAAATGTATATAGATTCATATATTTTAATCAATCCTACAGCTAACTCTACCAAATAAACTTAAATACTATTTACTCTAAAATTACATGAATAAATTCTTAGCCCAAATCAAATTTATTTTCTTTTTTCCATGAATATTGGGATGTAATCACAGGCAGGATACTCTAAATCTATAAAATGTTAACATTGTATATACGTTACAGTATAATTTCAGGGCTGTGGTAGTAGATACACCTACCTTTTGTCCCCAAAGGAAGGATAAAAGAGAAAAGACCTGAGAAAAATTATTAAATAATGATTAAGTAATGTTCTCAGTGTAATACAATGATTATAGGTGATTATTTTTGTCCTTTCTAAAATTTCTTCATTGTAGTTTAATAATAAAGTTTTAGCTGAGTTTAAGTTGTTAAAAGCTGTATCTTGGAGAAGGTAAAAGGTTGCTCGTTTTGTGTTTCTTTTATGAAGGGCAACAAGGTCTTTAAAAAATTAACTCTTCTGTAGGATGAAAATTATACTGCTTATATGCATTGATATAGAAGACATTCTATTTATCTTGAACAATGTTGAATCATAGATTAATGATGTTTAAAAATCCAGTTGAAATGGATTTTATCCTGGGAGGTGTCCTATTGACATTGTGCATATGTAAGTTCTGGGCTGACTATCCCTGTACATCTGGTGGACTTTTTACTGAGTTCATTTGTCGCTTTGTGTATATATAGCAGTATCCATGACCACACCAACTCCCACTGCTTTCTGAAGATGCTGCAGGGAAATCTAAAGGAGACATTATTTGCCTGGCCTGACAAAAAGTCCAATGAGATGATCAAGAAGTCAGAAAGAACCTTGAGGGAAAACCAATGTGCCTACATCAATGGTAACATCCAGTATTTTTTTCTAAGGGCAAGTGGGAAAAACCTTTAACTCCCATCTGAATCATCAGTTACTTACCCATGTGCAGTAGAACTTGGATCATGGAATCACAATTTCAAGCACTTGGGAAAGGGCCAGAAAGCAGTGGTTTTGTTTTTTAAAGTTTTGCACTTGGATTAGAATCACTTATTAGAAACACATGTGTATAGATTAATGCCAACTGAAAAGTCATTTATTTACCTGCCAAGTCTTAGGACAGTTAGAATCAAATATGAATTTACATATAGAGAGTCTTTTAATAATGGAGTGAAGCCAAGGTTGAAATATTAGTCTTTACATTAGAAAATGTAAAGAGCTCTGGCTGGTGTGGCTCATTGGATTAAGCACCAGCCTGTGAAGCAAAGGGTCCCTGGTTAGATTGCCAATCAGGGCACACACCTGGGTTGCAGGCCAGGCTCTCAGTGGGGGGATGTACCAGAGGCAAACACACATTGATGTTTCTGTCCCTGTCTTTCTCCTTCCCTTCCCCTCTCTGTAAAATAAATAAATAAAATCTTTTTAAAAAATAAGGAAATGTAAAGAAACAGCCTTGGCCAGGTCGCTCTGGTAACTCAGTTGGTTAGAGCATTATCCTGATACGCCAATGTTGGGGATTCCATCCCTGGTCAGGGCACATACAAGACGCAACCAATGAATGCATGAATAGGTAGAACAACAAATCAGTGTTTCTCTCTCTCTCTCTCTCTCTCTCTGACTCCATCAAATCAATAAATTTAAAAAAAATTTTAAAGAAAGAAAATGTAAAGGAATGTTCTGGAAGTAGTTAGAAGTGCTAGCTACTCCCTATTTTTCTAAAATTTGTGTAATATACTTAAAAGAGTATTCTCAAGGGAAACTTTACATAGAGCATATCATTTAGCAGTGATATGGATCTCTCACCAAGAACACATTCTTTCCCCTAACTGTGGTTTGGGAAAGCCAGATGCTTTTTAGGAGAGGTAGTGATTAACATCTATATTCTTAAAGGGGACAGTAACTTTCCAGAGACCTTGTCAAACTTATATGAGATAATTTACTCCCATTAACAGATGAGATTCCAACACATAGGAAAATTGAATAACTTGTCCAAGTCATTCACCCTTGAAGTGGCAGCCAGAATTTGAATGTCAGTGATTGGATATGGCAATCAAAGACCCTACTCTTACCAGATGCATTCCACTTAAATACAGTAAAGTTTTACAGAGATTTTTCTGGCCAAGCAAGCTCTTATTTAAAGACAAATATTGGCCTTAATACTTGGCTTAAATTTGTTCATTCATTTCAGAATGCACTGAGAAATGTAAGATTACACAGTAGGCCCCTGTTATCTGCAGGGGATATGGTCCAAGACTCCCAGGGGATCCCTGAAACTGTGGTTTGTACTGAACCCTATGTACACCATGTTTTTTCCTACACATACATATGATCAAGTTTAATTTCTAAATAAAGAATAGTAAGAGTAAAAGTAATGATTAATGATACAATATAACAATTATAACAATATACCATAGTAAAAGTTATGGAAATGTGGTCTCAAAATACACGATAACTGACCTGTTAACTGAGATGGCTACTAAGTGACTACAGGGCAGGGAGCCGATATGTCAGGTTGGACGAAGGGATGACTCACCACTGCTGGGATGGAACGGGAGATTTTATCTCGCTGCTCAGAACAGCACACCATTTACAACTTCTGAATTGTTTATTTTTGGAATTTTTCACTCAATATACTAAGACCATGGTAAGTGAAACTGCAGATAAAGGGTAACTGTTCATGGGAAGTTTTTTCTTCCCATTCACATAACACATGCTGTTAGTTTCTCATGTAGCAGGAAACTCTTATTTGAAGGTTGCTATGTATATGAGGCACACCAGCTGTTCAAGAACAAGTTTGTTGCCCTTATAATGCATAATAAAGCAAAATATCTCTCAGGATAATCACTTTCAGCTAGTTACAGAGTCTTTGTGCAACTAGATTAGATCTTGAAGAATTAGTAGGGTCTACAATGCAGGGTATAGGAGCCAAGCAGATGAGGTAAACGGGTGCTGGCTGCAGGCTGGGCAGGAGGCTGTAGAAACGTACATGCGAGCCAAGGGCACCAGCCGCCACCCAGCTCCCACAAAATCGGCCTGACACCTCTTTCCATAGAAATGGGAAACTCTGATTTTTATGGGAAATTTTGGCAATTGGTAAAATACTGGGTGGGATATGCTTAATATACCTCTATACTAATCTTCCATGTGATCAAAAATTACAGATTCACAACTCGATTTTTACAGATGCAGGAGTAGGAGTACAGGTAGACACTAATCAGTGGGAATGCTGTTCAAGCCCAGGGAGGAGCACGAGTGAAAGCACAGTCATTGCTAACATAACAACTAGCCAGGGATGACCTACCTGGAGGGGAAAAGGGAAAAGGCACGTGGACAGGAGGAGTGGGAGAGGAAAGTGAGATCACATTCAGGGCCTCCAAGACCAGCTTGAAGTAAGTGCTTTGGTCAGCAGCCTTTTATTGGGGAATATTTTGATCGGTTTGGTAGCAGCATGCCACACAGGGTGGAGGAAAGGGAGGATTGGGGCAAGGAGACCAAGGTACCTATCCTGACAGGCAAAAGGTGGGCATGGCCAGGCTCAAACTGGCGTTCATAAGTATCACCAAGTTCAGAATTACTGTGACGGCGGGTACACCATGGGGATAGAGGAAAGGAGGCAGAGACCAAAAAATAATAACAATGTTGGAATCATTAATTTTGGGGACCAGACATGAGCCTCAGGAGCTTCTCAAAAGGGTAGGTAACTAGATTTTTCAAGGCCTTTACTTACAGAACGTCCAGCATGCATTGGGTGGTATACATACTTGCAATTGGAGAAACACATAATTAATTTGTATAAGGACAGTCAGTCCTTAAGAATATTGAACTTTAGTTTAGAATTGTGCTGAAGCCAGTATATTATTAAAGCAGTCAGCTATAGACGTAAAGAGTTTACAGACCTGAGAGTTAGGCCCCATGTACGTCAGGAGAACTGAGGATTCCAGAAGTTTTGAGTTGTTTAAATACAGTCTGGCTGGGGCTAAGTCCTCTGCTTCTAGGCTTTGCTCTTTGCCAGGCCTGCTCGTGCAGTCAGATAAGCCATAAGGCCAAATTAGGTGCTGCCCACATTAACTACACTAATTACACCGAATTCTTTCCTTGACTAAGCCTCATACTTTCTCCTAACTATAAATTTCTTCTCCGCATGTTTTTATAAAATCATGTCTTTTGTCCTTATTTCTTTATTTTAATCTTCGAAGCATTCCCGCCAGGGCCTTTCGATCAGCCTCTGTGTGGATATGTTGACCCATCTATCAAAAAACTTCTATGTTGTGCCCCTTGCAACATGTTTGATGATTAGCTGAATATGAAATCATGACCTGGCCATCATATTTCCTCAGAATTACAAAGATAATGACCTGACTTTATGCTTTCAGTCTTCTCATTGAAAGCCTGATATCATTCTGATTCATTCTGGAATCTTTCTGTAAAGCCTATTTTTTTCTTTCTAGAAACTTGTGAGATCTTTTTTGTTGTGTTTTCTCTACCTCCAGTATGACTGTGACGTACTGCTTCATACGTCTCATTCACTGTGCTGGGTCCTCAGTCTGTTCTTTCAGTCTGAAAACTGAATGTCCTTCCATTCAAGAAAATACTGTCAAGTTATTTCTTTGACTTTTTTTTTGCTATGTTCCTGTTACTCAGATATTTAACCTCCTCTGATTTATTTTATCTTTCCTATTTTCTATCTTTGTCCTTTGAGTCTTCCTCAACTTCCTCAGTTTTTCTTCTAGCCTTTTTATTCAGATTTTTATTTCAAAAAGCTCTTTTATTCTCTGGTCCTTTTATAGTATCTTCTCTTATCTTTCTATTAATGAGAGATATTAATGAGGATATTAATGATAAGTTTGTTTTTAAAGTCTTCTCCTGAATTGTGTCTGTTTCTAGTTTTTGTTTTTTTCAGGTTGCTTTGGCCTCTGTGTTTCGTACTTGAGGACTTACTCAAATGTCTGGTGACCTTGGCTGTGTGCTAATATTTAAAAATCAGGCACAGAAAAACTCAGTTGGTAGCTCTGAACACTGGACTTTAGTCTAGGATAATGTGGCAGAATTTTTTTTTTTACTGTGAACAACCAATGGCAGTATCCTTAGGGCTTTGTTCTTGAGCCAAGCAGATTCCCTGAGAAACTGCTTCTTATCTGCTGCCTGGAGAAAATATTCCTGTCCGGCAGCATTCTGGCAGCGAGGGGGTGAAGGCTGTGGGGCTCTTCCCATTCAATATGTAAGTTTTCACTTCAGTCCCCTGTTTTTCACTTGTCCTGAGTTCATCTGTTCTTTCCAGAGAATAGATCTCAGACTTCTACCAGGGGTAAGGAGTGGGAGAAGTAGTGAAAGGGATGTAAGACTCTACTGAAATAGGCTTTAACCAGTTCTTATATTTTTAGCCCTACCTTCATCCCCTTTTCCAGAAATACCCACACTGCCCATTTCTGAGGTGTTTGGGAGGGTCACAACAAAAATCATTAGCTGAGGATTCAGCTTTCTCTCTTCTGTGAAGCTCTTTGTCTGTAGTTAACTCAGAATAACCTGCATTTGAACTAGACAGGTCCACTTATATGCAGATTTTTTGCAACAAATACTTGTAATGTTTTCTGTCTGAGGCTGGTAGTCTGCGGATGCAGGGTGCTGACTGTATTCATTGACGTATCCTAATTTATACAGGGGGACTCGCATCTTTGAATTTTTGTATCCATGAAGGGTCCTGGAACCAATTCCCCATGGATTATCCCCCCAAACTGAGGGACAACTTCAGTTTTGGAGGAATCAAAAGTTACGTGTAGATTTTTGATTGTAGGAAGTGGGAGTTGGCTCCCCCAATGTCCATGTCATTCAAGAGTCATATATTTAAGCTTATAATTTATTACTGTTCTCTCTTTTCCAGTTTCTTTGTGTGTTGATGCCTTTTTTTATTCTTTTACTGAAGTTTTAGGGGGTTTTCAGGAAAGAACAGAGCCCATATGGCTTACTGTCTTTAACGAGAAGTTCAATTCTAACTTTCATTCATTCCATATGTACCCAATTGATTTATGATTTTAGGTGATGTCATCTAAAATCCTTCATCTGTTCTTCTTGGGTGTTGTTTAGATTCTATTGGCTTACATCGAGTAGAAAACGTTAGCCATACGGAACCTGCCGTGAGCCTTCACTTGTACAGCCCGCCTTTTGACTCATGCCATGCCTTTGATCAAAGAACGGGACATAAGAACAAAGTCAGCATGACATTCTACAGCAGATTCGGAACCAGGACTCCATTTGTAAGTATTTGTGGTTCGGCAGCATCGCACTGTATGCATCACTTTTTTGTTCTAGATATTATTTCAATATTTTAAATATTCTTGAAGTTTAGATGAACCTTAACTTAGGGAAGGCCCCTTATATTCTAATTTTTTTTAACTTTGGAGACTCTATTTTTAATTTATAAATAAATTTAAATTAGATACAAAGGATTATTGAGAAAGTTCAAAATGTATGTTTATTTCTAAGGTGTCTTCATTTATTAGAGAAATGAGAGTGAAAGCTACGTGATATAACTTCTGGTATGACTTACCAAATGACTTCTGTCATTTGCTGGGGCAACACAGATAACTTGCAGAGTTAACCTTTGCAAAGTTTGAGACCTACTCTGATGATACAAGGAAAGAAACTTGCCTGTTTTGATTGGCAGCTTGTTTCTTGTTCGAGTAGTGATGCTCTTCAGACCACAGGTAAATGAGAGTGGATCGTAACCACATGGTCCCCTTGAGGAACAAGTGTCCACCTAAAAATAATAAGGCAACCTGTAGTAATACCGTATGGCAATCTTCTCCCTCTGGTGACATAGATCGGCCATTTAAGGGAATGGAAAGACTGAAAACACTTCTCATGAGTCTTACAAAAAGTATGGTCCTCGAGAGAAGCTAGGGCAGAACTTTCTCAGGTGATCGCCCTGCTTTGCTTTCTGCATTTTGATCCCCCAAGAGCTATTCTTATGCCTGGAACAAAGCAGCAGGCTCTATCACTACGGGCAAGTGTTCATACACCGGTAAGAAAGAAGGACAGCTTTGAACAAGCTCAAGTGTCTGGCGTGAACATTCTTACACAGCTCTTTTTTTCTTTCTTGCAGGCAACTTCAGGATCACTGGAGAACAACTAAGGAGCACCACACCCTCTAAGGTCTGCTGAAGTGTTGCCTGGACAGGAAGGCCTCCCACCATTTGCTGTTCAGCAATACACTTTACAAAACCAATGCTTTAATGTCCTGTAAGGCAGATGCTAATTAGAAGTCATTAAGTAAGCAAATAGTGTCCTGAGCTACTACAGAAGAAAAATCCCACTAAAGAAAAAAGAAGGCTTAAGATTTTTAAAGGCCGAATAAAGTACTCCCCTGGTTTGATTCTCTAAATCCATTGGAACCATACAGGGAATGCCAGTGCAGGCTTTTATAGCTTTCGGAGACACATTGTCTCTGAACTGTAATTAGCAACAAGAAACTACAGGTATCAAATGCCTATCTTGTGACTTGGATAACTAAATGTAGATGTCTTTAGTATACTTTGTATGTCTGAATATTTGAAAAGAATTTTTTGAATCTGTGTATTTTATTTTTTCAGTCATATTTTACCCATTCCTGTTTCATAAACAATAGGGTGTTGTAGACAGAGAAACGTAAGGTATACTTTGCTGCTTGGTAATGAAATGAGGGAGGAAGGATTTGGAAAAGGACCCAAACCCGCAGCAAACCCAAAACGCAAAGTCGTGCCTGGTGTGTCCAGTGTTCACAGTCAAAGACTTTGTACTGCTCTCAGATTCCCAAATAATTTTAATAAAACTGGATTTGAACACGATTTGAAGTCGTCTTTCTCTTTAACTTCATAAGAATTCCATAAAACTCATAGTTTCTTTGATTTGGTTAGACTACCTGAAACAGTGTGAAGTATGACGTGATGTGAAAATGTGAGAGGACCAAAATACGCATTTGAAAATAGCTTACCTTTTTGGGCTTTACGTGTGTTCACTAGTTGGCTGGAGAAACTAACCTGAGGGGATATATGTAGACAACCAATTTTGCCTAAAAATCATATGCGGGTCTGTACGGGCTTACCTTGTTCTATCGTACTTCACTTTATTGCACTTTACAGACGTTTTGTTTGTTACAAATTGAAGGCAAGACCCTCCACCAGCAAAAAGATTACAACTCACTTTATAGCAGTAGTCTGGAACTGCACCTGTAGTATCTCAAATGTATGCCTGCCTGTGCTTAAATGTGAATTATTTTTCAACATTTAAAAAACTGGAGATTTTGTAGAAGATGATGTGGATTTCTGCTGCTTGAGAATCTGAAGTGTCTCATGACACTGGACCTGCAGTGCATTTTCACTGACGTCAGTACACTAGGCTGGGGTCTGTCCCTTCGATGGGACTACCTGTCCAATGGGTGGCAGCCCCCAAGTTGCCTATTTCCCTTATATGTTACCAGCAAAGCCCACGTGTGCATTTGAGTTTGCTGCCCCTCGTGTAGGCAATTTTCTTAGAAATATCTGTCATGATCTTAGAATTTATTATCTCTAGAAATAATTAGAAAGTAAAGCCCCTTGAAGATAGTTCTACATAAGTCATTGGTTATAGTGGTACCATTGCCTAGAATTATTGACATCTTTACATCTTTGTTTCCTCTCATCTTTAAAAAGGATGTTAACATTGATTGAGTGCTTACTACACACCAGGTATTGTTATAAGTTGTTTAGATGTACTGCAAAACTTAATTTTGTTAATAAAATAATCCCCCCTTATGAATTAGGTGCTGTATTGGTTTTCTAGTAACACAATGGTTTAGCTGTGACACATTATCACAAACTTAGTGGCTTAAAGCAACACAATGTGTATTTTCCTATAGCTCCACAGGTCAGCAGATGAATAATTTTACAGTGCTAAAATCAAGATTTCAGCATGGCTGCATTTTCCCCAAGATTTTATTCATTTTTAGAGAGAGGGGAACAGGAGGAAGAGAGGGAGAAGAACATCAACCAGTTGCCTCTCATACAGTGCCTGGACCAGGGACGGATCTTTCTCTAAGCTCTGGGTAGGATCTATTTCACTGGGTTTTTCTTCTAGAGGCTGCCATGGCTTTGTATCCTCTTCCTCCACTTTCAAAGCCAGCAAAAGCAGACTTAAGTTCTTCTGTTTCTTAGTACTCTTAACCTGTTCTCTCATACTTTAAGGACTAACATCTCCATCTCCAGGTTGTACCTTTAACCCTATCTGTAAAGTCTCTTTTGCCATGTCAGGTAACATTCATAGGTTCTGGGAATTAGGATGTGGACCCCTGCCAGGTCATTCCACCTACCACAGTTGGCCCTCTTCCTCCTGCCAAAGGGCCACACCTACCCCACATGCAAAGTAGGCTCACCTCATGCTAAGATCCCCAAAGTCCCATTCCATCACACTGTCAACCAAAATTCCAAAAGTCTTATTTAAGTTAGATCTCACCATTTAAATTCAGTGTGGGTAAGGCCTCGTTATAATCCATCCTGGGACACAATTCTTCCCCGTATTCAGACCTGTTTAGCCTAGTTTAGAAGCTCGCCAAAAGTTATCCAGGCAAGAAATTACAGTTAGGATTTGAATCCAAGCCACCTTCCTTTAAAACTCATTCTCTTTATACTCAAGCCTTTCAGGGTAAGAGAAACCTGGGCCACTTCCAACTTCTGTTTCCTCTTTTTAAACAACAAAATTATATTTATTTGTTTTATAGGTGTGGTATAATGAAATGTTTAATATATCGTACTTTTAACATGCACAAATGTGGTAGCGTAACCAAACAAAAGAGAGGTTTGGCTACCTGCCACAGGAAGAGCCAGACTAGTGGGGCAGGTGCAGTTTTATTCAGGTGCTGCCTGCACGACCGAGGAGAAAGGTGGGCTGCCGTTTCAAAGACCCTCTCCCCTTCCCACTCAAGCCTGAGGTTCTTATAGGGATGGGGGGGGGCGAGGGATTTTAATCTAATTATCTTTCTAGTTTTTGGCATGCCTGAGGTCCTATCTTGTCCATGTTTCTAGCTTCTGGCACACTCAGTGTGAGGCCCTCGCCCTGCTGCAGTTCTGCCCAGTGGGGAAGACTCCGTGGCATTCCCACTGACTGTCTACAGTAACAGCAGTGCCCTATGTGTGACAAGTAACGGCCATATCTGAATTTGAGGATCCTTGTGCATGTACGGCTCAACATAACTGGCTGCTCTGGTGGTCCTGGCCATCCTGACCATCCCGCCCACCCTGAGCTCTGTGATCGTCCCTGTTCTCCACTGCCCATGACAATGTTCCCACAGAAGTAGACATGCTTCCAGAGGAGCTCAGCACACACTGGGGTTGGTGAGGTGTACACACACACACACACACACACACACACACACATGGCAAGGCAGCAAAGCCAGCAAGCGCTCAAAGAGATTAGGTCGGAGGGAGAAGGAACGTTGAGGGTTGGAATCACACTGCTTGCTTAAGGAGAATGGGATGTAAAAGAAGAGGATAAAGGCCGGAGTCTAGAGGAGGAGGAAAGAGCACTGTGTGTGAGGAGACAGTGAAGGGCTGGCGGTGAGTCCGAGAACCCCTTCAGCACTCAGCACCGCCCAGCTTACCTACAGCTCAAGTTCCAGCACTTGCTCTTCCCTCTGCCTGGTTTGCTCTTCTCGAAGTTCTCTCCTTGGTCAGCTCTTCTTGCCCTTCCAATGCCAGTTCAAATGCCACCACCCGAAAGGGATCCCCCAGCTACCCTATCTGAAGGTAAAATCTCCAGGCACTCTCCTTCCAATTTCACTGACACACTTATGGTGACCTGAAAACAGTCATTCCTTCTTCACTTCTTTATCATCTACATCCCACTAAGAGAATACAAGCCCCAAAGGATAGAGACAGTGTTTCCTTTACTGCTGTATCCTGAGCACTTAGGCCATATCTCACATGAAGGAGGTACTCAATAAATATTTATGAAATGAATGGAAAAACCCTCAATCTCCTTACGTAAGAATTATAGTCACAAACCCTTAATGCTATGGGTCTCTTCTACATGCCACCAAATCATGTACCATATTATTTTTGTTAAGTATGGAAACTCTAAGGATTAGTTTTAATATATTTTATTGATTATGCTATTACAGTTGTCCCATTTTCCCCCTGAACTCCCCTCCACCTTACACACCCCCTCCCACCCACATTCCCCCCCTTTAGTTCATGTCCATGGGTTGTACATATAAGTTCTTTGGCTTCTGCATTTCCTATACAATTCTTACCCTCCCCTGTGTATTTTCTACCTACCACCTATGCTACTTATTCTCTGTACCTTTTCTCCCTCTATTCCCCTTCTACTCCCTGTTGCTAACCCTCCATGTGATCTCCATTTCTGTGTTTCTGTTCCTGTTCTAGTTGTTTGCTTAGTTTGCTTTTGTTTTTGTTCTGGTTGTTAATAATTGTGTTTGTTGTCATTTTACTGTTCATATTTTTTATCTTCTTTTTCTTAGATAAGTCCCTTTAACATGTCATATAATAAGGGCTTGGTGATGATGAACTCCTTTAATTTGACCTTATCTGGGAAGCACTTTATCTGCCCTTTCATTCTAAATGAAAGCTTTGCTGGATAGAGTAATCTTGGATGTAGGTCCTTGCCTTTCATGACTTGGAATACTTCTTTCTAGCCCCATTTTGCCTGTGAGGTCTCTTTTGAGAAATCAGCTGACAGTCTGATGGGAACTCACTTTGTAGGTGACTGTCCCCTCTTCTCTTGCTTCTTTTAAGATTCTCTCCTCCTCTTCCATCTTGTGTAATGTAACTATGATGTGCCTTGGTGGGTTCCTGCTCGGGTCCACCCTCTTCGGGACTCTCTGAGCTTCCTGGACTTTCTGAAAGTCTATTTCTGTTGCCATATTGAGGAAATACTCTTTTATTATTTTTTCAAATAACTTTTCCACTTGCTCTTCTTTTTCTCCTTCTGGTACCCCTATAATTCGGATGTTGGAACGTTTAAAGATGTCCTGGAGGTTCCTAAGCCTCTCCTCATTTTTTAAAATTCTTGTTTCTTCATTCTTTTCTGGTTGGATGTTTCTTTCTTCCTTCTGCTCCACACCTTGATTTGAGTCTCAGTTTCCTTCCCATCACTATTGGTTCCCTGTATATTTTTCTTTATTTCACTTAGCGTAGTCTTCATCTTTTCATCTAATTTGCAACCAAATTCAACCAATTGTGTGAGAATCATGATCACCAGTGCTTTGAATTGTGTATCTAATAGGCTGACTCTCTCTTTGTTGCTTAGTTGTATTTTTTCTGGAGCTTTGATCTGTTTTTTTCATTTGAACCATTTTTTTGGTCTTGACTCGCCTGTTGCATAGTGAAGGGTGGAGCCCTCAGTGTTCACCAGGTCAGGGCAACCCAAGTTGCGGCATTGTGACACCACTGTATGTGGGAAGGGGTCTGAGAGGGAAAGTGATGTTTGCTCCGCTCTCTCTGCCAGATTTCAGTCACTTCCCCTGCCTTCCACAAGCAAATTGGGCCCTTTTGGTGCTGATTCCCTGTGGGTGGGTTTGTGTATGTTCTAGAACCCTGTGGGTCTTTCCAACAAACTCTTCTGTGAGGCTGGGAGTTTCTCCCGCTGCCTCAACTCCCACAAGTGTTTTCAATCAGTGGCTTTATTTCCCTGCTCTGGGCCCTGAGTTGCACGGTCTGTCTCACTCCCCATTTGTTTCTCCCAGTTTATCTGCACACGGTGTGAAATCGCCCAATCTGCAATCCGCTGCCTGGCCAGGTCTGTCCGCCTGCTGCCGCCTTGCACTCCCCGTTCCACAATCCGCTGCCTCACTGGG